GAATTACAGGCATGAGCCACTGACACCCAGCCAAAACTCTTATACTTTGACAGAGATTTTTTTTTTTTAATTTCAAGTCAAGCATACATCATTGTAAACAAATCAGATTTTTTTTTCCTGAGGCAGAAAGTTTTGTGCCATTCTGTCACAAACCTTATTTAGCTATGAGAACAAGCAATGCTCAAGACCCTGGAACAAATGGCCTTTTCCTGGAGGATTTTTGGAAAAATCTGTCTTTGTTTAATGACCCACCAGACATAATGGCTCTTGAAAAGGCTGGTTCTTTAATGAGGCATTTAAAGACCACAGCTCTCTCAAGACATAAAGGAACCCATTTATTTCCTCTGGCTGGCTAAAAGGGAAAAGCTTCACGTGGGCGTTTGCAGAATGCCAGATAACAATAAAGGGTGTAGCACAATTCCCAGCTAGGAGAGCACCTGTAATGTAATACAGAGATGATGTAATGGTCTCCTCCCAGAAATTCTTCATCTCCATTTCCGGGACGGTGAAGGTATTGGCAAATACTTCAGATAAGTGCTCTTGTCTGTGTTCTGGAGCTGTGTCGACGGAGATGGAAGCCAGTGAGGTTGGTCCTGGCCTGAGCCCATCCCAAAGTCATCATTATTTTCTTTGTTGTTTCTACCTCCATTGCTCTGTCCTTCCTTAACAGGTTCTTCATGAAAAATGCAGCAGTCCACGTAAATCTGAGAAGACTGGCCCCTTGGCCTTACCTCAGTTTCCTGGAAAATTCTGTAGCCACAGAACAAATATAATTGTCTCCAATGGACTTCAATCAGCCAGACCACATGACTGACTACAATACGCCCCTTTATCTTCTGTCTCTTCTCCTTAGACATATGCAGATCTAAAGTACAAATGAGGAAGTCTGATTTTCACCCTGCCACACTGGGTAGTAGCCAAATCATCACTTCACTCAATTTGTGCATGCCCGGTGGTTAAACAGAACAGAAGCTTTTATTTTCTGAATTCTGATATCATAGTTTAAGTTGATCACAGAAGAAGCCTGGCTACAGAACTTCAAAGTATGGTTAATCTCCTTTTAGATAAGTAGTAATAGTAATCATCAGAATCTTGATTCATATGTATTTTTTCTTAATAAACATCTATTGAGCACCTACTGCATGCAGAGCCCTCTGCTGGACACCTCTTTGGGGGTACAGATGGGGTATCTTGCACTTCCAGAATATAGTACCTACTTTTGAAAACAAGCACAGCACCGACACCATAGCTACTACATGTTTAATAACCAAGCAAGATGGTGCTGACTCTAGTAGACTTCAGGTGCATGCCTTTAAAAAAATGTAGGGTTTTTTGTTTTTTTTTTTTGTCGTCTTTAAGTAAAAGTTGTATAAAGGAATTCCAATTTGGCACATCCATTTGTGAATGCATGCATCTTGATCAACCCCTTCGATCCTTCTCTTTCTCCATCTGCACCAACGTTCCCCCTGTTCTCCCGCTTCTCTTCCAGGTGTTGGCCTCTTTAGTCAAAGCAGGGGCTTGGCCATCCTCCAACTCACATTGAGCTTAATGCATGTGGGTAGTTTGGTATCTGCTAAAGGCACACAGAGTTCATTCCAAGTCCGATAGTGGGCACTTTGGGGCTGTAAGTGCCCTCATTTTTAATTGATGGAATTCAAAGAAGACACTGAAATGGTTGGCCCACCAGCTTCACCAGGCCGGCCTGAGAATTTGGGGCGGGAGCACTGGGAAGGGGAGTGCAGGAGCCGCGCCTCAGCTGGCGGTGGGGGTGGGGAACTGGTGACTCACCTGGAGCCTTGTCGGCTGGGCAGGAAACAGCTGTTCTGGGAGGGACCTGAAGTCCCAGTGGGACTAGTTGCCTTAGGATTTGGGCCTGAATGTAAAAGGCGGTTTTTTCTGCCTCTGTCTTGAGTTTTCCTGGGGAAAACTCAGTTGGGCAAAGGGTGACTGCAACAAGACCAAATAGGAAGTAACAGAGGTGCTCTGCCAGGGCATCCTCTTAAAGTAAGCCAGCAGTTCCGAATCTGGAGCAGTAGGTGGAAACAAGGGAGCACCGGATACCCCAGGAACACTCTCCTTACTGTGGAACCTGGGTTTGCTTTGTAGCTCAGAGCTCATGATGAGCCTGCCTGCATCTCCCCCCACGCGTCCCCCTCCCCCAGTTTCCCAGTAACGTGCCCTCCCCGCCTCCCCCCAGTTTCCCAGTAACAGCTGGCAGCCTGGGGAGACCCTTTGGTCTGGCCTCTCCAGAGCTCAGGGACCTCGAAGTTGGACCTTTGGCTCAGCCGTTGTAACCTTCATTTACTTCTATTCGTTGCATTCGTTGCATCTCCAAAACCTCAATTGTAAAATAAGGTTAATCATGGAAGTTGCCTATTGGTCTTTTTGTGAGGATTAGTGAATCAAAACATGAAGCTCCTAGAAGGATGCATACCTCAAAGGGGTGTGTGTGTGTGTGTGTGTGTGTGTGTGTGTCTGTCTGTCTGTCTGTCTGTCTGTCTGTCTGTCTGTCTGTCTGTATCTGTGTTGTTGTTGTTGCTGGGGCTTGCACTCAGAGCCTAGGTGCTGTCCCTGATGATTTTTTGTTTTGCCCAAGGTGAGTGCTGTACCACTTGAGCCATATCACTACCTCTGGCCTTTCCCCCTGATTAACTGGAATCTTAAAAGACTTTCCTGCTTGGCCTGGCTTGCAAACTCCATCCTCAAATCTCAGATTCCTGAGCAGCTAGAATTACAGGCATGAGCCACTGGCATCCAGCTCAGAGTAAAGGTTTAGTAAAACGTTTAGCTATTTTGGTAAAGGAGTCAAGCGGAAGGGCATGTGTCAGCACCAACAGATGCTCAGCCTCTGGTTGTTAAATGACAAAGGAAAAGTGGTGGAGAGCCTGATCTTTTTTAAGAAGCCATAGTAAAGACTCCTTCCTGCAGGGAGTGAATCTGCACTTGTGGTACTCAACCTCAATGCCCCAGATGTAGTTTCCTGTCTTCTTCTAAAGTGTGTGTTTCCTCACTTGTGTCAACCAGTGCTTCTTAAACATTCATCACACGAAATCGCCTGGGGACTTGGGTGATAAACAGACTCTCACTTGGTACGTCTCAGGATGCTGAAGTTCTACTTTTTTTTTTTTTTACAAGCTTTCCCAAGGGATGCCAGTGCTGTTGCTTCACAGATTTTGATTACTAGTGACACCACTAACACAGCCCCTTGAAGTCTTTTACAGATGGTGGAAATCTTCTCTATCCTTTATGCCCAATACAGGAGCCACTCAGCACAAAGCACGACTAAAGGCCATCCATCTTGAAGCTCCTCCTCTTCAGTACTCTGCTTGTTTTAAATAATAGAGGATCCCTGTAACCTTGAAATAAAGTTTTTGGAAAGTGATGTTTTAATTCTATTTCATTGTTGTGATAATAATCAGATGCTTATTGGACAGCTTAATTCTGGACGCTAGCTTAAATGCTCAGGGTTTGGATTTTTATCCTGATTAAGAGTTAATTGTCACAGTCCATTGCTTGTGCTTCATATCTGTAATCTGAGCTACTCAGGAGGCCGAGATCTGAGGATCATAGTTCATAGCTAGCCCAGTCAGGAAAGCTCATGAGACTCTTATCTCTAACCACCAAAAGAAACTGGAAGTGGAGCTGTGGCTCAAGTGGTAGAGAGTTAGCCTTGAGTACAAAAACTCAAGGACAGCACCCAGGCCCTGTATTTAAGCCCCAGGACAGTACAAAAAAGAAAAAAAGTTAAGGGTCACAACTATATTCAGGACCATGTACATCTTTTGCTCACTGAGGATTGAGCAAATAAGTGTACACAGCTCTACTGGACCATGTACACAGCCAGAAAATACAGTCAATATGTGTGCTCTGGAATCTGTAAGTGTCTGTAAAATAATCATCTTATTTGCAGATACCCTTCCTGGTAGAGCTGTTTGACTGGGTCTGTCCTTTCCCCTAAAGACTTGGACTTAAAGCCACTGTTTGCAGTCTGTGTGTTGGTAATAAAAAAATATTTTAAAATTAATTTAATTAACATGAATTCTAAGATATCCTTAGCTCATGATTTTTTTTTTCATGCTGGTACTGGGGCTTGAAATCAAGGATCTCACGCTCTTGCTTAGCCTGTGTACACTACATGTGCATTTGGTGTGCTGGTCTTGGGGTTTGAACACAAGGCCTAGCTGCTGTCTCTGAGCATTTTGTTTTGTTTTGTTTCATTTTTTCCCCTTAAAGCTAAAGCTCTACCATTTGAGCTACAACTCCACTTCTGGCTTTTTGGTCATTAATGAATCTCATGGACTTAACTGCTCCAGTTGGCTCTACCCACAATCCTCAGAGTAGTTAGCAATTCAGGCATGAGCCACTGGTGCCTGGCTTTGCTTAGCTTTTTCCCTCCACGCTAGTATTTCCACTTCAAGCTGTTTGCTGGTTAATTGGTGATAAGACTCTCTTGGATTTGTCAGGCTAGCTTCTAACTGAGATCCTCAGATCTCAACATCCTGAATAGCTAGGATTACAGGCATGAGCCACTAGTGCCAGGCATTAGTTCATGATTTTCCCCTTTCAATTATTTTTCTGGCCTGCCCCTGGTAGCCCTACATGCAGAAAAGTACACTTGCAACTTCAGAGGTGAAGAATTCAATGAACTCAAATAAGATCTCTATTGTACTGTACTGAGAAATATAAAAACCTTAACTGTTTGCTAAATAGCAAACAGCAGATTTCCTCAGGTGGAAAATGCTATCCAAGTCTTTAGCTTTCCTCCAGATTGTTCCAAATGATCTTTGACTTGTGCTGGTGCTTTCCTGGATGTGGTGGACATGTCATGCATCCTCAATAAATCGTATCAATGACACCCATATCAGTGACTAAGACTGATGCAGATCCAGAATGCACAGCTGGAATCCAAAGATGCTTGGGATTTCAGAATGGATATGAGGAAGGAAGCTAGTCCCATTCTGACTACATTGTACAGAGATGCTCATTGTTCTTGCTCCTTATTTAATGAGAGGAACATCCATGATTTCTATGTTATCTTTGCTCATGGGCAATGCTAATCTTCTCGGCACTGTTCCAGCTTTGGAATATATGCTGCTGAAGCCAGCATGCTTACTTTTGCTTTTTGTTACATGTATAGATCATTTTTGTCTCTGATTATGAAACATTGCTTTCTTTTGACAGTGTTTTTGTTTTTTGGTTTGTTTTTTTTTTTTTGTCAGTCATGGGGATTGAACTCAAGGCATGGGTGCTACCCAAGGCTAGTGCTCTACCATGTTAAGCCACAGCTCCACTTCTGATTTTTAGATGTTTAATTGGATATAAGAGTCTCATGAGTTTTCCTGCCCCAACTGGCTTCAAACCATGATCATCAGGTCTCATCCTCCTGAATAGTTAGGATTACAGGCAGGAGCAACCTGGAGACATTTTACATTTTTAGCATGTGAATATTTGCAATCAGAATAACCAACAGCCTTTATATAGGTACCAAGTAAAGAGGTAGTATATATTCCTAAGCTTAGTGGTGTATGCCTGTCATCCCCGTACTTGAAAGGCTAAGGAAAAGGATTTGAGAGTTCAAGCCCAGCCTGGTCTACATAGGAATGGAGATCCTGTCTCAAAGACAATTAAATTTAAGTTAGAAACTAGAGCTGTTGTTATAGTGTGAGAAATTAACACAGTAAACTAATTGATTTTAATAACAATTATCCCCATAGCATTTACTTTATTTAACAGTACTAGAAAGGATTTCTATCTCATCATTACTTTTTGGTGTATGTGCCTGTCCTGGAGCTTGAACTCAGGGTCTGGGTGCTGTCCTGAGCTTTTTTTGTTTTTGTTTTGTTTTTTTCTACAGGCTATAGCTCTACTACTTGAGCCACAGATATGTGGCTCACAGAGAAAGCCATACTTTTGGCTTTTTTTTTCCTGGTTAATTGAAGATAAGAATCTCATGGACTTTCTTGCCTGGGATGGCTTCAAAATCTGATGCTCATATCTCAGCCTCTTAAGAAGCTGGGATTACAGGCATGAGCCACTGGCACTGTGTTCTATGTTAGTTTTATACAATACCTTTCAGAGTTGTATCTTTGCATTGTGACTTCCCATTCTTAGTAAACCATACACACAAAAGCATATTGTTGAGGCAAGAAGAGAAAGCAAGAAATAAATGCAGGTAAATAGCTAAGGGCTTGGATAACATAAGAACTAAGAAATAAGAATGTGGGCTTAATAAACAAGAGAAACTACTCAGGGTCATGTTTTTTTTTTTTTAGTTCACTATCATAAATAAATGAGCTCAAATTAAAAATGACAGATGCTGAAATATGAAATAACAAAAAGATAATGATATAAAAAACAACTTGGGCTTTAAATTCTTCATGTTTGGGAACTAAGGGGACACATTGTCTGCATGGTAGAAATGTTAAACTTCACGGGAACAATTGCTTTCTTTACTTATGCCAATGTCTGGATTGCTGCCTTTTCTGTGACACTAGTGAATAGACCTTTGTCTCAAATATTTGGACACATAGCCTTTGTTACAAACCGTAAGGAGTGAGGAGGAGTGAGCCTGTGCCTGGACAAGCTGATATAAAGTAGTTTAGAAGATAGTTGACTGGTGCTGGTGGCTCACACCTGTAATCCTAGCTACTCAGGAGGCTGAGACCTGAGGATCACAGTTTGAAGCCAGCCTGGGCAGGAAAGTCTGTGAGACTCTTATCTATATTAACTACCAAAAAAGAAAAAAAAAGCCAGAAATGGAGCTGGGGCTCATGTGGTAGAACACTAGGCTTGAGGGAAAAGGTCAGAGACAGCACCTAGGCCTTGAGTTCAAGTCCCAGGACTAGCGCGTGTGTGCATGTGTGTGCATGCACGTGCGCACGCGCATGCACACACACACACACACACACACACACACACACACACACACAAAATGAGTCTTATTTCAATATATTTTCTTATTTGTCGTTAGAGTCCCAGGGCAGATTCCAAGTCATCAACTCTTGCCTCAGCCCTGTTCCAGGAATACATTCCTATCTCCTTTGAAGGTTAATGCTAAGAACTAAGAGCTTGCCTGTGTACCACCCTCGTCCCCCACACAGCATGAGGATATTTGTCACTGACATTTCCCATTGCAATTTTGAAGTGTGATCAAAGACAAAAACAAAAGGAATCACGATTTAGATTTAATCATTGTGTAATGAAAGAAAATGATGGTACTAGATTAAACATGATTCTTTGGGCTGGACTGACAGAATCCTTAACTCAAAACTAGCTAAAAGCTGAAAGAGAATATTAGCTGCAGATGCAGTCCAGGAGAGCCCTGAGGCTGGGTCTCAGGAAGGAGTGGATCCAGGATCTCAAATCCTTTTGCTGCTCTGAGGTACATATCTGCTTCCTTCCTTTCTTCCTTTCTCAGCCAACCAGGCTGCCTTAATTACAACTGTATTACTGTTCGAAGCGCAGATTCCCAATGAAGCTGGAATTACACTTTTATTTTCCCCCAAAGCTTTAGGATCTGGTAAAGCATTTAAGGACTGGAGTCTCAAAACCCTGGTGCTCCTGGGTGACTAATTTGGAATTTGTGGAAATGGCAAGGCAAAGCTTCTGCTGTTTCCTCTTCCTGCTGGCTCCTCTTCACGACTCTTGGCGCCAGCCCAGGTCTGTGGAATCTTGCCCAATTCTTTACCCCAATGAATCCCTTCCTCCTCTTCTTTTTGCCTTCACTGCTAAAGACTCTGCTCATTTTTTATGTTTCTTTCCATAATGCAAGAAATAGCCAAACTGGCACCTAGCAGAAGCTTAGCAAGTATTTACTATATCTAACTCAACCAGGACACACACAAATTGGCCCAGTTTAGGGATTGTCCCATGTCCTTACATTAAATCAACATGTAGGTTTTCTTTCTCTCTCTCTCTTTCTTCTTTCTTTCTCTCTCTCCTCCCTCCTTTACTTTCTTTTTCATCCTTCCTTCTCTCTCCTTCCTTCCTTCCTTCCTTCTTCCTTCCTTTTCTCTCTCTCTCTCGCTCTCTCTCTCCTTCTTTCTTTCTGTACCAGGACTTGAACTCAGGACCTTGTGCTCACTCAGCTTGCTTGCTCATGGCATCATGCTATGCCTCCAGCCTAGTTTCTTGCTGGCTAATTGGAGATAAAAGTCTCCTAGACTTTTCTGCCTGAACTGGTTTTGAACCGATATCCTGATGTCCTTATATTTGGAGTAGCTAGGATGACAGGTGTGAGCCACCAGTGCCAGCTTTCTTCTTTCCTTCTTTTCTTTTTCATCTTTCTTAAAAGAAAAAAATTAAAGCAATAAATTGAAAGAACATTGAAAAAGACTGAGTAGTGTTTTGGCTTCTTCCTATCTTCTCATTTATGTTCAACTGCTAAAAACAGCAGCTTTTTCCCTTCAAAGTCTTGTGCTGGCTCCCAGATTGTGGACTTTAAGATAGTTTGATCCTAACTGGATCAGGAGCTAGCTCCTTCTTTGTAAAACTTCAAAGAGATGAATGCAGGGAGGAAAGGTATCTTTTTGGTTTCTCTGTGATGTCTGAGAGATTTGTGGGAGAGAAACTAAGATAAAACAACGCAACCTCTACAATGGCCTTCAAGGCTCTTTTCCTCCTCTGTAGCTTTCTCATTCGTTTGAAAGGCCATTGTGATTTTCTGCCCTCCTCTGGCCATGTATTCCTACTCTGGCATCAGCTGCCAACAGGGTCAGACATTGCCCTTATAGTCTTTAAAGATTAACACAGGCAGTCTGGTACTCTTTTCCTTGTTATTAGCTGCATAGGGGCATTTTTTTCCTGACAAGGACTATCTAGGGGTAGTTTACTTTTCTCTCTGAGTGACAGTCGCTTTGTTATCTACACTGAAGTCAGGGAACTCGTTTCCCTATCTAAAGTCATTTTGTGCTGGAGGGCTTGGTTGGGGGTCTGGCATTGTGGGTTCCTAGGAGCCTAGAATCTGATGCCTTCCATTGGGAGGGAGGCGTACCTTTGCTAGAGGAGCAAAAGTCACCTCTTTGCTCTGGCAACCTTTGCCCTGAGCATTCTGGTCTATCTCTGTGTCTAAAAACTCAAATTGCTTTTTGTCCCTAAGACAGCATTTTTGACACTATGGTTCTTGGCAGACATTAAGTAAGCACAGCATAAATAGCACTGCAGGGCAGGGACAGCCCGTATTTATGTTTAATTTGGTAGAGTATTTTTAAAAATTGTTGTCTGGTTGAATCATAATCCTTGGCTATTTAATAAAGAACAAAAAGGGAGCAGTTTCCTGATCCATTTGATAACAAATTCTTTCTCATAGTTCATGGGATCAAATTCAAGAGCCAAAAGACTATGCTTAAATAGAAAAGAATATAAAACAAAGCAAAACAAATCAACAAAACCAACCCAAAAAACCCAAGTGAGATTCTGTCTTTAAAAACAATCAAACCTGAAAACCTAAAGGAGATTTCTGAGGAAATTTGATTCTCCTATTTTTTTGGGGGGGGAAGAGAAATCCAGGTTTCTTTGGGAATGTATATTTTGACCCCATTTTTAGTTGAACTTTGTATTTTTTTTCCACAAGCAATTTTGTTTTCTATGTACTTATAATTTATTCATACAGAAGGCATTCTGTGGAACAGACTTTTGCTTACTGAGCATAGCTCGAAAGCAGACTATATTTCTGAAGTCCTTTTATCTTCCTTCTAAGGCCAATCTAAGAAAGTGACACTAATGGAAGATTTCAAGATTCTTAATATGGCTTATAACTTTAATGAGTAAAAAGAAATATCATCATGGATAGTTAAGCCAACAGACTTTATATCAAAATGACTTAGTATTTCAAAGAAAATTATACTTCCCCTCTTCTTTTCTCTTGTACATTTTTTTTTTTTTTTTGGGTCCGGTCGTGGGGCCTGAACTCTCAGCCTGGGCATTGTCCCTCAGCTCTTCAGCTCAAGGCTAGCGCTCTACCACTTGAACCACAGCGCCACTTCCGGCTTTTTTATTTTTTCTGCTTATGTGGTGCTGAGGAATGGAACCCAGGGCCTCATGCATGCAAGGCGAGCGCTCTACCACTGAGCCACCTTCCCAGCCCTCTTGTACATTTTTTATTGTTAT